GGGGTCCGGGAGTCCGCTTATCCTACGCTTGCTTTACGGCAAGGTCTATAGCAATCTTATACTATAGGGTTAGAAACAAGGAATTAATGTGTTAGGTCTCGCTACCGTAATTAGGTCGCCTCGATAGGCTATTAGTAGGGTTGCTTACGCCTAGCCGATATAATACATTAAAATTAAACCTAGCGAGGTAGACGGCCTATCTAGCCTGTCGACCTATAACCCTAGTAACCTTAGTAATGCTACGGAGGTTGTTATAGTCCGTATAGACCTATATTGTATATTAGGCTCTATCGAGGTAGTGCCTCTAGTGCTTAAAGGCCTCGATAATAGCTAGGAGCTCTTACTCGTAGGTCTCGTAGCGACGTTTAGTATTAATTATCTTCCTCGAGAAGAAGGCAATCGGGTGCTAGTAGGTGTTATCAGCCTACTATAATATAATAGCTAATATAGCGAACTGTGAAGCGTTAGTCTCAATTCGGATCTGTTTGCTTAGTACGAAATAGTGCAATAAGGGGACTTTAGTAAAGCGTTGCTTTAGACCGTTAAAAGCGGCTTATATCTTGTTAGTCTATCTAAACTCTCTAGATAGATTAGCCTTGGTTTTAGTAAGCTCAGTTAATAGCATTACGTGCCTCGAATAGCCCTTAATAAATCGGCGGTAGAAGTTAGCAAAACCGAGGAATAATTGAAGCTCTTTAATAGACGTAGGAACAGGCTATTTAGTAATTGTTTTAATCCGGTTAGGATTAGCCTTAACACCCTTAGTTAATACGAGGAAGCCGAGGAATAACACCTCCTTAGCAGCAAAGGTGCATTTAGAAGGCTTGCAATATAGGCTATAGGCCCGTAGGCGGTCGAGTACCTTACGTATAGCGGCCTAATATTCCGCAATATTAGGTAAGTGTATATAGACTAGGATATCGTCTAGATAGACTACGCAGAGGTAGTCTAATAGGCCTAATAGGGCCCGATTAATATAGGACTAGAACGTTATAGGGGCGTTAGCTAGCCTAAATAGCATAACTAAGTACTCGAAATAGCTATAACGAGTGCGAAAGGCTGTCTTCTATTTATCGCCCTTGCGAATATAGATGCGGTAATAGGCGTCCTTAATGTCTAATATAGTATAGTAGTAGGCACTAGAAAGGCGATCGAGGGTCTTATTAATAAGCGGAAGTAGACAGCGGTCCTTAATAGTAATAGTATTAAGCCTACGATAGTCGATATAGAGGCGTAGGCTACTATCCTTCTTTAGAACAAACAGGATAGGTGCACTAGCAGGGCTGTTACTATACCGTATCCGGCTATTAGCTAGGTTCTCTTCTAAGTATTTACGTAATATAGCAAGCTCTCGTTTACTAAGGTTGTAGAGGGGCCTAAAAGGGACCTCTTTGCCCTCTATAATATTAATCTTATAGTCCGTCTCTTTAAATATAGGCAATATCGATGCTAGGTAGTGTTTAAATACGTTAATATAGGTTTCTCGAATAGGCTCTAGTATACGAGCAAGCTAATTAGGGTCTATGCTATTAGGGGGTATAGGTTTATTATTATTACTACCGAGCAGGTCGGCAGTCGGATTAGCTAAGGTAGAGGCTAGTGTTAGGTTGCTAATAAATAGGACCCTAATATCGTTAGGGCACTCGCTAACATTAATGTATTTAATGTCCTCTTTCCTAGCGATTCTAAATCGCTACTTCTAAATGCCTAAGTCTATAGCTATAGCGTAGTACTTAAGAACAGGGTTGCTAATAACAATAGTAGCTCCCCTATATAGGTTGTCTATATCTACTATGTAGGTAGTAAAGTCTAGTAGGCGTTCATTTCCGAGGTCGTCCTTTAGAGCTATAGGAATATAGTAGGCCCTATAGGTTAAGTGCCGAGCGTTATTAAACCAAGCAAGGGTTAGCAGGTTAGTCCTAGGCAGTTGTCGGAGGTCTAATTGCTTAGCTAGGCGATAGCTAATAAGGGTACTAACTGAATTTCCTAGATCTAGCATAACCTTAGTTTAATAGTTAGTGCCCTTCGTGTCCTATATAAGGTAGGAGCGTGTTATAGCTAGCACAATGTCGATAGTCTTACGCCGTATAAGGCTAACAGTTAGTGCGGCGCTTACTCTTTTTTCGAAGGTTAGCCTATAGGGGTAGCGTTAGCTACTAAGAGGTGCTTTCGGTACTTAGCGGTAGTACGGTCGATCCGGGCCTAATCCTTAGGTTTGTCGTATTGTCCTAGTAGGTAGCTAGTACTATTATAGTTGAAGCATTTCAATCCGGTTAGTAGACTGCCGTAGCTATTGTTATTATTAGTAGAGCGGTTAGTATTATAGGGATACGAGCCCCTTCTACGGCCCCTATCGCAGCCTCCTCTATATAGCCGTCGGCTACGACCTCTTCTACGGTCGTTACTATTCCTATTGTTAGCACTATTGTTTTAGGTAGAACCTTAGTTTCCTCCTCGGCCTCGGTTGCTACGATTAGTACTAGCTAGTCGGATCCTCGATTCTAGTCGTTATTAGAGCTAAATAGCCTGTTCGGCTGTTTCTACTTCGACTATAAATTGAATGCGTATTAGATTAGCTTGTTCGAACACACGGCGACGGTCTAATTCGAGGATAAGTTCCTATCTAAGTTTTAGGCGTATCTCGGAGATCTATATAGAATTAGTCTTAGACGGAAGGTCGTCTTTAAGGGTTTTTAAATAGGCCTCGAATAAGCGGGCTAATTAATTAGTCTTTTACTTAGCTCGAAGATACTAGTCCTAAGTATGCTATTGCCTTAGTATAGGGTTTCTAAGGGCGTCTAGTATAATAGTTTTATAGGTTTGCTACTAAACAGCGGTCTAATTAGTAAGGGAGTCGAAATACTTATCCTAGGTGCGTTTTAGGTCTCTATTAATGTATTGTATAGCATAGACGACTAACGAGTAATCGTCCGGAAGAGCCCTAGGTGCGTTTCGCTAGTTAAGCTTACAGTTACGAATGTAGTCGTTGTATTGCTTTCGGCTAGAGCTATTAAATACGGTATAGTCCTTGAGTTTAGCATCCTTCTTTTAAATAGAAGGTCCTACTACTAGTTCTAGTCTAGTAGTAGTTGTTAAGGCTTCCTATAGGCGGCGAATCTCGAGGAGATTATCCTTTAGCTATTGTTCTTAACGTAGGGCAGTAAGCCTGTTTTAAGTAGCTTCTTAAAGTCTCCCTACTAGTTAAGGCCTAAAGGCTAGTTAGCTATATCGTCGATTAATAATATTGTTAAGAATGTCGTTAACAGGCAATTCCGGATTATTACCTAGAATTACAGGTTCTTCTTTAGCAGGCTCTCCGGCAGGCTCTTTAGTAGGAGGCACTTTAGTAGGTGCTCTAGTAGGCACTTTAGTAGGCACTATGCTACTAGCGTTGTTATTACTAGAGCTGCTAGCGGTAGCACGGTTGTTATTGCTTCGTAATAAGCCGGCTATTATAATAGGGGATAACACTAGTAATGTATTGTTAGCCCCTAAGATACGGATATAGCGGAATTAGTAGATATTAGTCTAGTACAGTTGGCTTGGTGTAATAGGCCGTATAGAAGGCCTTGCTTAATAATTAGTACGGTTGTTTCGATAGAATAGTACGTATAGGTCCCGTTCTTCGGGCGCAATATAGTTAGATTAGTCTTGTTCGTAGCTACACCGCTAAAAGCTTGAAATAAGGACTATCTAGCTACTGCCCTTAAAGGGTAGATCGAATACTATATAAGAAGGGTATATTAGCAGGTAGATAGGGTAGGGGTAGGTACAAGTAGTATTCGATAGAGAACTAGGAGGAGAAGGAGGAAGGCAGGCCAGTTAGCCTAACGCCAAGCGCTAAGCCCTGCCTAAGGCACTAAGACCCTAGCTTTACTCGGCCTAATTACATGCCAATTACGTATAGCCTCTTTAGCCCTAATACTTTCTATTCTATCTCCTTCTACTAGATAGTATAATCCGCCTACCCTACTATCTACGCCTATATCTTTAACGTTATTATCTCCTTTTATAACTACTAAGTCCTTATTATTTACGCCGCTTAGTATAAGTTCTCCTATTTTCTTAAAAATCGGCTCTCTTTCTATAGTTAGCTAATTAGTATTTAACTTATTATCGTCTAGTAAACTAGCAAATATATCTAGCTAATTATAACTTTATAGTCGTTATAAGCCTCTTTTATAAAGGCTTAGAAGCTCGCTATTATATAGTAATTATATACTTCTTAGCAGCTTAGAGTTTGAATTTATAGGGATAATTAAATTAATATAGGCGACCGATATTAGCGACTATAGCTAAGCGCTTTAAGAGGCTTAACGTAGCTATAACCGAGACTAGTTAAAGCCTATTTATATATCTATAAAACGGCTTCTATATACTAACTAGGTAGATACTATAGGAGTTAATATCTATTTTACCGACGAACGCTCTAAGGCGACGAGTTTTTATAGAAAATAGACTTTAATTTTAATAGTTATTCTAGTAGCTATCTCGAATACTAGCCTAATAGCTAGTACTATAGATACTATAATAAGCTATAAAGGCGTTAATAATTGTAAGATAGATAGGATACTAGCGATAGAGCTATATATTGTTTAGAGTACCTAGCTAGTATATATAACAGTTATTAATAGTACTACTAGCTTATATATTACTAAGTAATACGTAGTAGGCAGGCGCGACTAGATTAGGTATAGATTAATTATAAGATAAGTGATTTTCGTCCTTCGAATTTTCATTATTATTATTATTAGTAACAGTGCTGCCGCTCTAACGTCGCGCTTATCGTGATGGCCTTGCGGGAATAATGATTGCTTCCGGACTTGGTGCAACGCTTCGCTTCGCTTATTCAGGGTCAAGCCGATGCCGGACGAGTCCCGCCCCACCACAGCTCCTTCCATCTTGTGCGGGGAGCTGGCAGGGCGGGCAAGTGCCAAGCAATGTCCATATGATACCAAGCATCATTGCTCGACTCTGCCTTGCCTTCCCAACTCTCGTCAAGCCAATTTCTGCACCAAGACAACGACACCGACATCCACCGCATCCACCGCATCCACCGCATCCACCGCATCCACCGCATCCACCGCATCCACCGCATCCACCAACCCGTACGCTTACCACGTGTCCTCAATGTTCCCGCTGACAACCCATCCAGCGCTATTTCTGCACCCACTTCCACTTTGGTAGGCCGCAACGCACACGCCGCGATGGGGCTGCGCTTCTTCAATGGTCACAACCCGAATGACGATCAAGGTATTTTCATTAGTACCGATGAAAGCTGAGCCGGTGGACGCTTGCGCACCATGCTGCCATCTTCCACCCTCGTCTTGTCGAGGAGAAGATGCCGCATGTCCTGCCCGTTCTGAGACTATACGGCCTGAACTTGATCTTCTGGATAATACCAGCGAAAGAATCATGCTTTCTCGCGACTCATCTGCTGCCAGTGCAGCAAGGCTGATGTTCGCAGTCCTTGAATCGTCAACATGTCTCCGCCCGCCATGAGCTTCCAAGAGCCTGCCACAACCAGCAACGCCAACTACACTGTTCAAGCTTCAAAACTGGCTGCCCTGCCACACCACAACGCCCTACCAGTAAATGGACTCACCAAGACTGCTACCATCGACGACATGGCTGGGCGTTGGAGCGACTTCTCGTTCGCTCCCATTCGTGAAAGCCAGGTCAGCCGTGCCATGACCAGGCGCTACTTTGCCGACCTCGACACGTACGCGGAATCCGACGTTGTCATTGTCGGTGCTGGCTCATGTGGCCTGTCTACTGCCTACTGCCTGGCCAAGGCTCGTCCAGATCTCAAGATTGCAATCATCGAGGCCGGCGTTGCTCCAGGTGGTGGAGCGTGGCTCGGTGGTCAGCTCTTCTCCGCCATGATAATGCGCAAGCCCGCTGATGCTTTCCTACGCGACGTTGGCGTTCCCTACGAGGACGAAGGTCCGGACTCTGCTTTTGTTGTGGTCAAGCATGCAGCCCTGTTCACGAGCACGCTCTTGTCCAAGGTGCTTCACTTTCCAAACGTCAAGCTTTTCAACGCTACCGCCGTTGAGGACTTGATCACTCGCAAGAACGCCAATGGCCACATCCAGCTTGCTGGTGTCGTCACCAACTGGACTCTTGTCAGCATGCACCACGATGACCAATCTTGCATGGATCCAAACACAATCAATGCGCCAGTCATTGTCTCGACGACCGGACACGATGGTGAGCATGGATAAATTCGAACCCACTTTTACCTTCTCTAACATCAACGAGGTCCATTCGGAGCCTTCTCCGTCAAGCGCCTGGTCTCTATGGGTGTCATCCCAACTCTCGGAGGTATGCGTGGTCTCGATATGAACACTGCCGAGGATGCTATCGTAAAGGGCACCCGTGAGATCGCACCGGGTCTCGTTGTCGGAGGCATGGAGCTGTCCGAAGTCGACGGAGCCAACCGCATGGGGCCTACATTTGGCGCTATGGCACTTTCTGGTGTAAAGGCAGCTGAGGTCGTCCTTGAGATCTTCGACCAGCGCAAGGCTGAGTGCAGCGACGGCGGAAAGTACTAGGCGAGCCTGGTGCAGGGTCCCGAAGCTTGAAAATGTATTGGATCGCTTGATACTCAGTATCCGTATATGCACATATGGCTGATGGGTCAGGATCAGACTGTGAAACGAACGAGGGGGATGAAGAATGCTTGACGATTGGACGAACTTATGTTGCTCTGACGCTCGTTTACCTTGAACAGGCCGAATACGAAGTACAGGAAACAACGATGCAACATCACACATCGCTGCATATCACCCAATCTCTGTTGCACGAAAGCTCTGCGTTGCCTGTTTCATTCACCATTTCGGAATCTTCACAGCACATCTGAATTCGTCGTGAACTCCGCGTCGCACATTCCGAACCTGGTGCAAGTTATAGACTCGTAATGTCATCTTGAGAACTCCGCGTCGTGCGTGTCATGTAGATGTCACACATCAACGAGAGAACAGAATGCACGACTCATACCTACGTGTTCGCTTATCGTCTCAGGTAGACGCACGATCGCTCGCTCCTGCAGACAGAATGACACATTCGGTGCGCTGTTGGACCACGACTCGCGTGTCTTCGAGCACTGAGATCACCGCTTCTCATCTCGATATACATCGTCTCGGCAACCACTACTTCGGATACTCCGAATCTCAAGCCACGAGCGGATGATGAAAATCCAAGAAAATGCGACAGGTGCGAGTATGGCGAAGGTATCCTTGTATATTTGTATACGAATCCTTATGACCCTTCATTGCTTTGACGTTTTCTATGTACATTGGAGACTATGAATGGTCCACTGGGGCTGTATTTCGAGCTTTGGTGACGTCGACGACAGGTTTTCAGTGAACATGTGGAAACAGGCATCATTCGATGCTTTATCTCGTTCTGCGAATGTATAGCTTTTTCTGTGCTGCTCATGTGTCATGAACGAAGCACACCGGGTAAAATCGAGAGATCGCTAAATCTGGATGTATGTTCAAAAGGACTTGAGCTGTCATTCCTCGAATGCATTGCAGGCTGAGCTACTGGATACGCCGCAACCCTGGATCATTCGAGCCAACCGCACAATCACAATCGATATGTACAATATCCAAATCTCCGCTCGCTCCTCGGCCACTCATGCTCTCACGTCGACTCAAAGTTTCGCCTTATCAGTCGTCAACTCTTGATCCAACTCACTGGTACAAAGAATACAAGTATCCCTCAAAGCCGGAACACGATGCTTTTGATTAACCTCCTGATAATCCTCGGACCCCAACATATCCATAAAATGCCGAATACTCGGGTAATGCGCCAAAGCAATCTCATCCCAACCATACTTATCCTCTCCAGGCGTCTTCTGATCCGGGATCACTTTTCCCACGATTTTGGCGTGACCTCCTCGTTTGGCTCCAATGGATTCGCCGAAAGCTTTGCCGTATCTCAGATAAGACTCATGAGCTTGTTTGCCTTGGTTGAAAGAGAGGAGATTTAACATGCTGACTGCATGGTCTTGTGGATGCGAGGAAGACCATTGCAGGATTTCGTCTGTGAGCTCAAGGCCCTGGGCCGAGGATGCTTTTCGAGGCTTGTCAAGGGAGCCGGTGAGTTCTGGGACAGCGTCTGGAGATGGGTGAAGGAGTTTCTGATTCTTTTCTTCGAAGCCATTATGGATCAAGCTCTTGGGTACTCCGGCTGTGATTGTCCAGTGTCGATGGACCCATTCCTGTGCGAGGCAGATCTCAGGAATGGGTTGGTCGGCTGGGAGGATGAGAAGAAGGTCCCATTTCTGCTTCAAGAGGTGGGTGGAGAGCTTTTCGGGTTTGATGATCCATCTTACGACTTTTGCTGCCACAAGAGGTTTGACTGGGAAAGACTTCAATGCTCGCAGGTATTGGGATGCCGAAGCTCCCGATGCCAGGGCGACGAGGTGAACGGTCGCGAGAGGCATTTCTTTGGGTATGTTATTAGTTTTCCGAGTACTGGGCAAGACTGGTTTACATCTTGTACATAAGTCGTTGGCCACCTGAGGTGTATGCGATGTCACCGAGGTGCTTGCAGTGACGTGCTCCATGTCATTCGGCAAAACGTTTGTGGTTTAGACTATTCGCGACCTCACCTTCTGCCCTTGCCAACCAATACAGTAACACGCTTCGACCTCAATCACTCCGATATTACACTCGTTCCCTTATCCATCAACCCCTAGCTGACGCCTCCTTTCCCTGTGAGCCTAGTTAGCCCGATAGATATCTACGAGCAGAAGACACTCACTAATCGCATTCTTTCCATTGGAATCTTCCGGGTATCACTTAGCGACGAATGACACACGACAAACGGCCGGCCTACAAGGCTGCCCGGCCCATTTGCCTCGTCCTCCAGATCAGCAACGCCTTTTCCTTCCAGTGGCCTGAGCTGCGTCTTCTTGTCTGCTTTGCAGACTCTCTGCGCGCGGTACGGGCTGAATCTCTTATGCCAGCCATCTTGGACGGAAATTTCTTCAGGGCGCTCATAGCACTTTTGACGCTGGACATGAACACCGAATGTTTCCTCGCCTTCCCTGCCTCTAGAGCCCTTTGGGTGTCTGCCTCTGGCGAAGAACTCTCAGGTGCCATCGCAATCTCGTCACGTCTGGTTACGCCTACACACTCTGCGACTATCGGCACCGCATCTTTGGGCGTAACATCAGGCCTAGCTTCATCCATATCGTTGCGAGACGTGAATAAAATGCCTGAAGCAGAGCACATAGACTCCGATCTGCGTTTTGTGGCACTCGAGGGACCCGCGCTGGCGACTGGAACTGCAGGTGGTGTACGACGAGGCTCTGTTGGAACATTCAGAGATCGCTCCTTGGACTGAGGAGCGGAGGCACTGCGCGCAACAGCTACAGAGTCCTGTCTGGAGTCTTCCTGGCCACGACTTGAAGGCCCGGGTGTGCATCTTTGGTCTTGGGAGGGCACTTCACGTCTCGGTGGCTCTGTAACTTGTTTTCGAGTTGCCAAGTTCGAAGCGTTGGTTACGTCTTGCAGCTGCGCATTATGTTCAGCATCTGTGTCACCCTGGTCAGCCTTTGTTACGCTCTTGCGCGGGGACCTTGGTATTAATGCACCTTCATCTGTACCATTAGCTTTCACGTACAGTGCACGACGTTTGTTCTTCGCGGTGGAAGAGCTGGTCTGCTGTTGTGCTAGTCTCTCCCAGATCGGCGCATGCGCGCTATGCCGACTCTCCACAAGCCTTGGACGCAGCCTGACATTGCTTTGGGCCTGCCGATCTGGTCTTGCTGGAGGCATCGGGACGGATCTCGGCTGCAGATGCCTCTCTGTATACGTTGGACGAATGTTCCGTGTTGTTGGATCTGATTTTGGAGCGAATGGGTCCGGGCGAGCATATCTTGGTGCGACGGCTACCTTCTGCTTGTTATGAGTCCCATTCATGAACGGAGCATGCACACGCGTCGGCTGCTGGCGTACACGCCCGGTAGGCTCTCGCGGTCTCTGGGCAGCAACCGGGCCAACCACTGTCGCAGAAAAGACTCTAACATGATTCGCTCCCAGCTGTTGGTTGTTGAATTTGTTCGTGTTGGAAGTTCCTGCGTCGAGTTGCAGCCTCAAGTGCTCCATCTCCCTTCCGACACTTCTTCTGTGCACGTCAACCTGGTCGTGTGTTGAGCTGGTCGACGACGACCGAGATCTTCGTTCCTGGCCCGTCTTGACGTTCCCATTAATGCTCCCTGTCAATGAATTGTCTGCGGCGGAGACGCTTTGTTTAGCCTGCACCGCTGGTTTCTGCTTGGCTTTCCAAGCAGACGTGGGAGCGGCGAGTCTTGAATACACATCGCTGCCATTTTCTTGAGGTCTGCCTTGACTCATTTCATGCTTGCACTGGGCCTCGGTGGGCTTTCTTCGTCTAGGCTGGACAGTCAATGGATCTGGCACATCCTTGTCGTGGCGGTCTCTCGCTCCACAAGCCTGTTCGCTCTCCCGGACCTCTCGCCTTTTGCCAGCCGCCTTGGCTGACATCGGGCTTAAGTTCGAGCTAGAGCCAGATGGCATCTGACCATTACTGCCGAATGGGTCCGCGTGTGGCTTCATGCTGCTGTCGGATGCGATTGTCTGCGGACGCCACGACTCCGCCGCGGCTCGCAGATTGTTCACTCGTGCCTGTCGCTTTGGTCGATTTTGAGCAGAGCTGCCCGCATCCATGACAGAATCTGGAGACACATGATTCGCAATCACGGCCGAGAGGCGTGCCAGTTGTTGCTTCAACGCCGATGAGCTGCGAGGCAGCATGGGAATAGCATCGATAAGTCGTGAGATTTCATCGCTATCGTGGCTTGTCAAAGCATCTGCTATTGCACGTAGGCGCTGAGCTCCATTGGAAGGATCACTCAGAACTATGCGCGAAGCAGCAAGCCATTGCTCGACTTCTGCCGAACTTGCTGGATCAGTCGCATACCGCTGCTGGGCAACTTCGATATGCTGAGCTGAAACGTCCTGTTGGGAAAAAGGTGTCGGTACCTGGCCGTTTTCGGCTTGCGCTGCATTATTCTGTGCCTCTCGAATGCTGAGAGAAGGTAGAGCGTCATCGTCGTTCTCTTCAACGGTGGGCGATCTATGACTGCGCCATGGGTTATTGCTTCCGGGTTCTCTGGGTGCGAGTACCTCGACGTGCCCTGCTGCTTCGACAAGACTGGCGTCGTCTTCTTCAGCAGATTCTAGGGCTGTCTGCCCTGGCCCTCGGCGTTGCAGGACTGGTCTGCTCGCTGAAGCACGGAGGAGCTGCTCGAGACACTGCGTTGGTGTTGTCATTTTCGCTTTTGCAGGACCGTCGCCTGTATAAATCGCGCCGATTGCTCTTCGAAAGGATTCCCACTCGTCGCTGCCTTTCCTTTGGCGGCTTCGTTGGCTCTCGACCAGGCCACGAGTTGCTGGTGCAATACTAGCGCAAGTTGTCCTAGATCAGGATGTCAGGTGTCAGGTCGCAACGAGCTCGATGTGCGCAAATCCTGAGTGGATTGTGCGGCCAGCTGGCCTCTAGCTTTCCGTGGTTGTCAGTAAAGCCTCTCTGCCTCGCAGGACTGGCTATTCGAGTGCCACCTGAGGTAAGTGAAAATTGCGAGCGCTGAATGGACAGGTCTCCAAATTGAGTACGAAGCCTCCAGTCAGCACCGCGAATCACTCTTCGCCGGGAACTCTCATCTGCCACTTGGGACTCCATACCTTTGGGTAAGCACACCAATTTCATCGCTGTATCGAAGACGAAGAACATAATTCTGCAGTCCCATTAAAGCTCGCCAGTTCCTGACCGGCTTGCGATTCTCGATAGTACGTACATGCAAGAAGCCAGATATACGGAAAAGAAACAGCCTCTGTGACTGCGTCCATCGCTCATCCCGTCATTGCATAGCTCATGCCGATGCAGCAACTCGCCACGTTGCAGAAAAAGATGCATAGTTGCGGCCCAGTATTGTTGGCACTTGGATGTCTTTGATGCCTTTACTGACTGCGCTGTCTCTTCATCCCAGCAGCGCAGGAATTATCCGCCCAGCGCATTCTCATGTCATCCACGAAAAACATTCGTGGCTCTTGATTACGAACGGCACGCATTCGCAGTCCGCTCAGCTTGCGAAACGAAGATGGGAAGTCGACTTTGGTCAACTGGCAGTCCTGGAAGCCTTCGCAGGCTGGCAAGGTGTAGTTCTGTGATTCGGAAGGAATATCGTCTCTGGTCCTGTTGTCCCAAACCATGCTCGTGACTTCCAACGTACATGGTCCAGGGCCAGCATTGTCACAGCCAAGCGCGGCTCCCTTTGCATCGAAGAAGAAGGCTGGATCTCCTTCGTGATATGGGCCATCACCCATCTCGCCAGGTTCAAGGCCATTGGGCTGTGGGCCAGATTTGAAGCCGGTGCCATTGGCAAGGAAGACTGCGACATTCGGTGGAGATGCGGGTACGAAAGGCTCTACAGGCTTAGGAGCGTAGACGTAGCCATTGCTGAACAGCATATGGCGGTATGGGCGCAAGCTCAATGGTGGCTGTTGAGTGATCTCGGATGTGCCATTGCCGTTGGATGTGCTGTTGCCGGTCGTAGAGTTCATACCCTGGCGTCTGAAGAGTCTAGCACTGCCTCCATTGAAGGTTGGAAGGTCATCGAAATCCATTGTGAAATCTCCCTGTTCGCCACAGCCTTGTGTTGAAATGGCTGTATTGGAAGTTTGCGGGAATGAGTTATTAGACGTAGAGGCCCCCGTTGGTCTGCTTGTCACAGAGATGGCGCTGTTTCGCGCACGTGTCGAAGAGCTTGCGATAGTGCTAGAAGCGATTTTAGTATCACTTCTCTGGCTTGAGCTGGTAATGGTTGAAACTCGCGACGACTCTGATGAGTATCCCGATTCGCGTAGTGAGGATATTGAAGATCCCGTCTGTGCACGAGACGTAGTCAAAGTAGTGCCTCCCGATCCAGAGGTCGTCGCCGTGCTGCTCTCTTGTCCATTGACTGTAGTTGAAGACATGGAGGCCACGAATGGTGGAGAAGATTCTAGAATGGATGTCTCTCCGATAGCAGTGGTCGCTGAAGATGTGGCTTCAGCCGCGCCCAAGGACTGTCCTTGAGATATGGTAGACTCGACGGAAATTGTCGACGAAAGAGGACCACCTCGAGACAGCGTGCTGTTAGTCGTGAGGCGCGTCGGGGAGTCACTTGCCGCTGATAAAGTGGATATTGTGCCATTAACAGTGGTGATCCGCGGCGTGGTCGCGATTGCAGTTGATATTATCACAAATGTGGTGTCAAATCCAGACAAAAAACTTGTTCTTGTCAAGTAAGAGACGGTCGCACTGTTAGATGGAGCCGTTTGTTGGGCCGAGGTGTTAGATTGGCTGTTGTGGGACGGCACTCCGTTGGCAGACGAGCTTGCCCAGGCGAGGCTGGAAGTAACAGCAGATGCCGTCAAGGTTGACGTTACAGGCACCAAGGACGACTGAGAGTTCGATTGTGAGCCTGCAGTACCTGCGGATTCGGCCGAGACAGGTGCATTGGATGTGATTGGAGCAGAGCCAGAAACCTCCATGCTTGTGCTGAATGCTGAGGCAGAATTGCTTGTCCCGACTGTCATTGTCAAAACCACCGACTCCCCGGACGCACTGGTGCCTGTAGCAATGAGAAGTTAGCAACGATGATTCGTTCCAGGAAAGAGGTTGGGTTTAAAGCGCTGTAGGTGACATGCAATGAACGATGAAAGGGTCAACACTTACCAGCACTGCTCGTTGCAACCGGGCCTACAAGAGTCTGTGTGAGAGTGTCACCAATGGTGGCAGTAATTCGAGTCGTGATGGTGTTGGTGGTGGCATTACCGCTTCCTTGCATTACGACCATGGTCATTGTGGTAACCTCTGGAGTTGGAAGAGCGGTAGACAATGTACTTGAAGCATTCCAGCCGGCGCTATTCATTCCCGTAAACGAGGAATGAGAAGGTACCTGCGAGACCGAGATCGTTGTGAACTGAGTGCTGGTCAGAGTCGTCGTAGAACCAGGCGAAGTGAAGCTGATGACCGTCGACGTGTAGTCTGGCACAGTGATTGTTGTTGTTGTGCTTATGTGGGAAGTCGACACAACGGTCGTCGTCGTATCAGGCTCTGGTGTGGACGGAAAAGGCACGAGAAACACGGAGGATGTCTCGATTGCCAACGAGACTCCGCTACTTGGAGAATTACCATTCTCCCAGACAGTGGTTCCAGATGTGACGTGGAATACGTAGGGAGTGGTGGAGGAGGAAGTTTCCAAGCCGGCTGCGTTCGTTGGCGCAACCGTAACAGTATTGGTGTGTGTCGATGTCGAAGTGATGGTCGATGTGGTGGTGAACGACTCAGCACTCGAGGCGCTGCCGCTTATGCCAGCTGCCTCAACCGAAGTGGGCGATGCCGTTGTAACCGAGTACACAGTATGGGTCTCGGTGAACGGGACGTAGACAGTAGATGTCATGGGCGAGCATGTCGCAGAGGCCCTAGTAGATGTAAGTATGTGGTCAAGCATATGCCAGCCGATGCCGAAAACGATCAGAAGTAGGATCGAGGCCATCGTGTTTTCTCTCCAGTATGGTAGACGTCTGCCAAGCTATGGCCAGTGATCGGTGAAGTGGGTCGTGTCCTCAAGCGAATGCAGACGCCGGTCTCCAGGGAACGTCGGTAGAAGATCAAAGATGCCATTCTCGGACCCTGCTTTCAGCCTTTCCCTAGGCTCTGTATGGGGCTGTTCTGGCGGCTTCTCTTGGCTGGCTGTTTGCGTGGAGGTGTGCTTTGAGTCGATTCGGCCGATGTGGGTCGGCCGTGTATGCATGTATGCGGTTGTAGGAGGTGCTTGTGGTTTCATCTGATTCTTGCGAGGCATACTGGCTAAACGACTTGGTGAATTATGCAAGTGCTGTAGGTGCTGGCTGGTGTATGCTGGTGTGCCTGGATGCTGGAGGAGGACATGGCCGCGACAGTCATGCACAGATGCGCGTATCTCTCCTTCGTCATCGCCGGCCAAGGGAGGAAGGTGGAGTGCGGCGGCAGTGCAGGTGCGCACAAGGGAAGGAATCATACGTACGCTGTGCTTTTCCAGTAACTGGACGTGCCATTCCAATGGTGGGCATCGACTGCGGCAGCCGCGATGGCGGCCAGGACGAGTGGCGGCTTCATCGGATGGGAATAGCGGGTTGGAAGTAACGAATGACTGTGGTGAGTGAGCGAGGTAAAGACTGGCTGAGGATGGAGCGTCGGCGAGAAGCGCGTGTGGTGTTGTTGTTGTTGAAGTTGAGGTCAACCTGGAAGTGGAAGGGAGAAAAGGGTCCTTGACATAACCTTTCAGACGTTGCACTAGCGTCCTTTCCTGATGAGGCAAGAACGCGTTCTTCTGAGGCGCGTTCTGCTCCAGCTGAGGTGAGGTAGATGAATCATCAGATGGGTGAAGCTGTGTCCGATTTGAGCGCGCGCAATAGGATTTACAACGCGGAACACATGAGACGACTGGCGACGCCTCGCCTTCACATGCATTTCAGTCCCACCAGCCTACTTACATCTGCCCTCTACCCATATCGCTCACTTCGGCGCCGTGCTGGTGAGCGCCAAGTTCTGGACCAAGGGGTACGGCACGACCTCTGACACGCAAACGGACACAAGCTCAGCTTTCGTGCTTCGAGTGGCTCAGCATCTCAAATGCAACATGAAGGCCTCCAGCCTGCAATCTCCCGAGCCGGGTCTGGAAGGCATATGTGTACTGCCGTCCGTATGCTGTGGTGCTGTGACGACAAACGCTGGACTGCTTCCAACACAGCCGTGTCTCGGTACGTACTACGGCCTGATCGAGCCCTTCAAGTGGATAGGCACGGAGTCCGTAGGTGTTCTCCAGATACAAGACATGCTGCTCCAGTCATCCACTCGATGGCGATGGCGTCTGGAGTTCGAATCCTCCGCGAATCTTCATGCTGTGCGACATCGACGGCCCGCTGCAGTGCAACTCATTTCCAGGGGTCGGAGCACGCACAGCAAAGCACAGCAGACGAGCTCCTGGCGAATTCCATCTCATCATGGATCCATCAAGGCCTTGAGCACAGCGCCGTGAGCCTCAGTATCATCGAAAGCTTTCCAACCACCAACCATGGCATTCGCATCCCCCCAACCAAGCTCTTATCATAATCGCCGTCATCTGATCATCACCTCGGCACCACTTCCATACTTCCATCTTGTCTGCATTGAGATCACATGGACCGTCCTCTGCCCATCCTCCAGCTGCTCCTGCTCCTCAGTCCATCCCACGTGCGGCTCGCTGTGCCTGTGCCTGAGACACTGATCAGGTGGCGATGTGCGTTCGTTGCCTCTTCCTCTTCACCGCCAGCTACTTGACTGCTCACCTTGTACCTATGCCTTTCATCGAACATCTCGCTGTCGCCGTGCTTCCGCCACGAGCACTGCTCTGCTCAGCCGAGACCAAGCGCAGAACGGAGATTAAACTTGGGATCGGACTGTCGGTCGATCACCGCCTGTCAATCGAGTCAGGCTTGCCCGCCCTCTATTCTACCTCATCATTATTGCCGATTCCATCATCATAAGAGATTCTGATCTAATCTCTGCACACGTGCGAGACTGCATTGCTCGTCGCTTTGGCTGACGAGCATCTCGTTCTTTCCTCTTATTATTAATTGGTCCGTACATCTCTCCTCGCTGCTTCCATCCCGGACGATACTGGGTACGTACGTGCTACGCAGCTACAAAGCCTTTCTTAGTTCCAGCCACACTACTTATCGCGACCCGCGAAAGACCCCGCATTCACTTATGCATGTGATTCGCGATAACTATCAACCAAGCACGAGGCCAAATTTGGTTTCGAAATGAACGCCTTCTCACCACACCCGACACCTCCCTTTTCGCCGCCGAACGGCACATCACACCGGCCGCCTTCTCTCACTCGTCGCTCGATTGACGCAATCTCGAACACCCCACTCGGCAGAATGCAGGCGGAGCGGAACGGCGCTATGCCAATGCCCGTTGGAAACCGCTTTCCAACGCGGTCAGGCGAGAATGCAGGCATGCCTTTACGTATGGCTGCGAGTCCACCCAAGAACAAGAGTGCGTACATATGCGCGACGAATGGGGGAGATGGAGAGCAGACTGACTGACATTCGGACAGACACGCAGCATGTGCCGTGTAAATTTTTCCTTCAAGGCCAGTGCCAGGCCGGAGCTATGTGCCCTTTCTCACACGATATCGAGTCAACAACGAGGCCAGCACCGTGCAAGTACTTTGCAAAAGGTGGTTGCAAATTCGGTCGGAAGTGCGCACTCCTGCATGTCACCCAGGATGGTACGGTAGTGAATCGACACCACTACCCACCTCCTCCGCAATACATGCCGGGTGTGCCTCCGCAGATACCCGGTGCATACGCTCCACCTCCGCCAGGGCTATTGTCCATGCAAGCGCAAGGTCTCGAACAGAGGCCGAATGGAGAGGGTCCTCCGCCAGATTTCGAGCATTACCAATACGGTCCACGAAATGGCTATGAGATGCCCCAACAGATCGACATGACTTACACGTCTGCTTCGCCAAAGTACGGGTCTCCTCCTCAGAACGATCGCATCGCTTCCTCACCACCACAAAGAGGGCTTTCCGTGCTCGATGCGCCTCTGCCGAATTCTTTCGATTCCAATGGTATATCATGGGCAGCGATGCATGGTCAGCTTGGTGCCAGCATGCCAGCAAGATTCAGCGATGTCGACTCTCCGCCTTCATCCCTTCCGCGCAAATCCCAGCTTGGTAATACTGCACTCCGTGATCTCCATAGTTCTGCATTTGGAGACAGAGGGATGGACAATCTGATTGCCAGCATGGGATCTTCTCCGCCGAGTGGCACCGATGAACCTCTGAAGTTTGAGAAGAGGCCACTGCATTCAGATCGACTCCGTGCTTCGCGGGCTCCAATGATGTCTGCAAGCCTAGGTACTCGCTCGTTCCCAACCCGACCGTTCGAATACTCGGACGAAGAAGACGATGATGACGTGGATCGGGAAGAGGATCTTTTGCCGTCATCGTTGCACGATCTCATTCCAGAAGGTAGGCCGAGAAAGACATCTCGGTCAAGGAATAATGACGATAGTCCCGCTACGTTTCTCGCAGCGCAAAGACGAACGATTTCGAACCATGGCACGCCTTCGCAGGACAGCAAAGTTGGCAGCCCTCACTCTTCTAGTCCCTCCCGATATACGGCCATGTTCGCAAGGAATATGCGAGGCGACTCGTCGCTCGGTCCTGTAGGATCGCGACTCCGTGACTCTTCCTTCCCGACATCGCATCCGGCAGGCTTGGCAGCTAGTGGAGAGCTGAGCCCAAGCATCAGCAGTCCGCCACGGCAAGCCAGCATGAGCATGCTCACACAGGAGCTGCAGCGCACAAGGCTCGATGCAGCACGGTCAGCATCATCTTCTTCTCAGGCTCCTGCACCTGCAGTACCACAGCGGACGCTCTCCAATGGCTCGGCTCGAGCAAGTATGGAGCGTAATGTCAGCTCGAACAGCATCAGCCAACGTATCGACGAGGAGCAAGAGCTTTTCGACATGGATTTCGACGCCCAACCGAAGACCAACGGCACCGCCTCGACTTCATCTCCAGCCAAATCAGCGTGGGATGGCAAGAATGAGAAAGCCAAGTTCGGTGCTATCGGGGGCGGCAGGACAACAAAATAGACTTGCATACGCATAGAAGGAGCGCATGACTGTTCCAACAGACGATGCGAATTGTCTGGATGCACATTATGAAACAGGATCAGTCTCGGCTTTGCATATTCTTCACTTCATTTACGATGACGCGACGACCTCATGGGATATGAAACGGTCGACTAGCGATGGCGCGGGTGGTTGAACGTTGTGTAGCGTGGTTTTGGTCGGACGTGGAAACAATGATGTTTTGACCTGGCTCGGCGCAGCATGTTGTTATTCCCCCCCCCCCCCCCCCACCAGAGAAGTAGAAATGAAAGTATATTGGTCGCTATACCTAATTCTCACGACTTGTCGGGCTGCCAGAAAATGTATATCCTTAACCTCTC